TATTGTTGTAACATTGTTCTTGCGTTGGAATTAAATTTTTTGGCGAAAATAATTTGAAGACCAAATCATGTAACGATAACAAATAAATTTATTTCTTGCTTAACGTTTCTACAAGTCTGTACACCGATGTAACTTCTAAGCCTAAGTTTACAATTTAATGCCATTTTCAACTCAATTATTTCAATTCAAGTTTTATTTCTTGTTTTCATTAAGTTGTATTGCTTTAATTTTTTACTTTTGTTTGTTCTTAGAGACCCAGAAATGTGATTATAAAATGTCCTTTTAACATTAGTTATAACATACAAAATGAATAATGGCACAAGCGAGGTTACGTTACACGTAGTTTGTCAAACAATTAAGTAGAATTTAGGCCTCAGTAGGCTTAATATTGTAAAATGCTTTCCACTGTAGGTTATGCTTCGTAAAACACAACTGTCGACTTAATATATTAAACTTTAACTGATTAAAATTCTTCATTAATTCAGCCGTTGGGTAGTATTGATTAACTTTTGTGACAAACACAAATAAGATTATATGTTACTGGATCCGTCTATGTTCAATATTTAGTAGGCTTGTATGTAGAATTATACACGGACCTTTCTCTACGTTAAAATACTTATATTTGCGAGCTTTCATCCGACAACAATCAGACAAAAAGACCAATGTTCTATTGAAACATGTAGTACGTTCCACCATCAATAAAACTTTTCCTTATGCTAATTATCATTATTTGCCTACCTATCATTCTACCATTTTCTTAATGTTTTAATTAATGCGGGAGTACATAAAAATTTTCAGTTTTGCATTTTATAGTTTTGTGGGCGCTTTTGCGTTTTTTGTCACTACTTCGCCCCCTGTAGATGGATCTTCACCAAATTTGGTATGGAGGTCCATTGGAAGATACATACACATTTTCAGTTTTGTGGTTTGTATGGGCGTTTTCGCGTTTTTACCACTACTTCGTCCCTGTTGATGAAGTTTCACTAAATTTGGCATGTACAAACAAATTTTCAATTTCGCATTTTGCGTTTTTTAAAATTACATATAAGAAATGCAACTTTTCATGTCCTAAGATAACCTTTTATTAATCATAAATTTACATAACTTCCGTCCAGGGGACGGTACTCCAGCTGGTATATATATAAGATTAACTATTCCTCAAATTAAATTATATTTATTGGAAGACGTTTCGGACAACAGTTCTTCTGAGCAGAAGCTAACTTAGGCCTAACGTTTAACCATTTGTTCTGTACTACCGTTCAAATTGTAGCTTGTTTAACTTATCAAATAAACACAAATTAGGGAATAGTTGTAAAATTTACAATAATAAGTCATAAAAAAGTTACTAAAACAATAAAAATTCTAACTGTTAATCACTTCTTACCTTTAATCACTCTAACTTTTTGCTGGCTTAGACCTAACCTACAACAATGTTAGCCTAAGCTTGTTTAGAACTTGGAAATTATTTAGTCATATACTGCCTTAGTAAAAATTTATTTTGGATTAATTAATTTTGTCAGGAACTTAGTTTTTAAGTAGAATTATATAGTATGTATAAATATGTGTATTGGGCTAAGGATTATTCTACGGTAGGTCTATTGGCGATAAATTTAAAAAAATATACGGACTGCACGCAATCCACTTGTTTTCAAATAATATATTCAAAACAAGTTAAATGTTTGTACAAAAATTCTTTACACTATTTATATAACAGTTGTATCTTAAATACTATACAGTTCTCTTCTTTTTGTCAAAAAGTCCACTTAGGCCAATTCAATTGCTTTAGAATTCAGTTGATAAGCCGAACTATTTTTCTATATTTCATCTTAAACACTATCAGTGTATAATTCACTTATTCCTTTTCTTCTCTCTCTCTCTCTTTTATTTTATCACAACAGTATCATGGTATAATTTACTTATGCTGTCGTTGAGTTACCACAGTTGTACGTTGAACTTTCGACACTCTGCTTTTTAGTATTTAGGCATACTTCCAATAAACGTCAGCTTTTCGCACATAGGGACCTACTTCCAAATAATCGTTTTGTTACGCATATGCCTGTTTGTTAATTTCCGGTAGAATTCTTTCCGAGGAACTTCAGTGATACAAGTCCATTCTTGATTAAACCAGTTTATTATTCCTCGATACAACTTTTAGTACACAGTAATTCCACAGTCAATACACTTCTCGTTACTTCCAACTTAACGACTTTTATAATACACGCTAT